CGCCCCGCCTCTCCCCGCGACGCTGGCTCTCTGCTGGCCGCCCCCGTGCCAAAAGGCTCGACCGCTGCACTCCGCATGACCCGCACATCAAAGCCGAGCAGCCGTCGGGAACGACCGACCGCACACGCGCAAGCTCCCACTCGCCTCTCAAAGGTGGCGAGATCCACCCGGAGAGAAGCGGAGCGGCGCGGTGCGGTTTTTTGTTGTTGTTGTTGCTCGTTTCGATGTGCGGGGCGGGAGTCCGGCGGGAGGAAAGCCCTAGTCTCGCTAGCAGCTGCTGCCAATTCAGTTCCTTGAGACTGTGTCGCTATTTATTCACATTTGCGAATGTACGGACGTAGCCTGTCAGTATTTATAATTTATTGTGTTTTTGTATGATGTTTTTTTTAAAGAATGGATGATTGAATGTATGTTAAACTGAATGTAAATATTTGAGTTCAGTTGTATATTTATTATATAATTTATTGTCATGACTAGATATTTGCATATATGCAAAGTGTTGTACATAGAAATGTTCACATGTACTCTTACATATAGTGTGATAGTCCAAAGGCTGATATTACATTTTTAGATATGAATAAAATGTAAATTATTATATATTTATTTTGAGACATAAATTATGAATGAAATATGATATGATGTTTTTATTTTTATCTTTGAACTACATAATATACCCCTCCTAACTTCCTGTTATATTAATATTTCTCGCGTTTTTTATAACTTAGATTGCAACCGCCCTTCACGAAATTCACGATCTTCCCAATTTTGATGAAAACAAAATAAAAATTAACAGATCCATCCTTATCACAAGGTACCGTAGGAATATCTGGATATTAAATAATTTTGTTTATATAATTAAACAACAAGAATTACTCCTAAAAACAATTAGCGTATCGTTTTTATCGTGGTCTGAGACTAAAGTGACGTTACACATCATTGTAAATGTATGAGTAACTTCCTTTCATTCAGTTTGAAATATTACATGTTACAATGTGGTTCAAAATGTGATAAGGATTAACGTGTTCACCTACGGTTTACTGTATGTTACATTAGCTGGTCGTCATTAATACAATGAACCCTTGCATTTAGAAATATTGTTAGACAAAATTAAAATGCATTTTAAAGTGCACTATCAGTCAGCAAGCCATTATGCTCGTCTCAAAAACAATGTCGCAATTTACCGCGATTATTTCGAGCAATCCTATCTAAAAGCAAATTATATTTCACGGGGAAATA